CCACTTTTATTGATGGACTCTTTTCTCTTAGAAATTATTACGCCGCTGTGTCAGCCAATCAAAAGCGACGTTACAAACGGCGACGTATTTTTTTTTTACGTTATGAGCTAATACCATAAATTTGTAAGCTAATGAAAGTTCTTGTTACAAGCAAGATTAAATTATAACGGGTTATACTGTATACAAGGAACATGTTGCAGCAGTTAAATATTCAACTATTTCGCTCTCCGTAATGAGAGCGAATTCATCATTACAGCGAACAGTAGTAGACGATATAATAGACAAAATAATCAAATGTGGAGGGCGAAACTAACATTGGGCGAACATGGATTTTACCGGCATATGGCGAAATTTGACTGGGCAAAATTTTTCCGGTATAGAGGAACCAGTGTTTTAACCTTCCCAATTGTTTTATTAGTATATTTTGTATATACTTTATGTCTCGTTTACGCTTTTGCTGACAGATTAACTCCAAATTCGATGTTTTGAAATGATTGCGTTTTCATATACATTTATGTAACAATAAAGCGGTTAAATAGAGACATACCGTAAATTAAGCATTGAACTGTTTTTGTATGGTATTTATGATCTATTTGAATGACACAGCTTTGCAAACAAACAGCATAATGCGCTCCATACAAAAACAGTTCAATACTTATATTTACGTTTTCTCTGCCTCATATGTTCTTTTTTAACTTATAATTTATATTGAAAATTAAAAATGCCTGCCTTGTCGACAGTTCACACAATTTCGTTCAATAGTTTGAACAGCGTATTAAAAATGTATCGCGTGCTGATTGGCAAACAAAGTAGTGCTTTGAAATTTTAACAAACACTTCAATTTTATTCCACAATTCAGTATCAATACAATTGCGTATGATATGTCTATAGGGTGATTTAAGTTTATCAATAGAACTCTGAGCTGAAAGTTAAATTTGAAATTGTTTCGATTTTTCCCCGGAACAAATTTCGCGCATGGACAAATACAGTGAACACCGTAAATCCGACCTTGCCCTCCACGAGGGAGTTATTTTTGGAAGTTAATTCGAACTTTTCTCTTTGCTCATTTTGTGAAGAATCCAGGCGTGAATTTATTTGTTGATTGTATGGGAACCTGACAACAGTCGGTAGATTCTATAACAGCGTCGTTATTTGACATGTCGTCAGAAACTGAGGAACCGTGGATGCGAGACGCGTGAAACTGATAGCGTTTGAAGTGAGTGATCTTGCGACGGAGCACAGGTTCGTTACAAATGTCTGAAATGTTTATGTGTGCTGTGACTCATATCAGTAGGTCTGTAACATATGTGTCAGTAGGTCTATAGAATATGTGTATTTCAGACATTTGTAACGAACCCCTGTTGATCAGTGCAGTGTAACAGACGATATTTCTGATAAATTGCATGAGCGTTAAAATTGTTTCCATTGCCGGCATTGGTGATTTTCAACCGATGTGCATTTTGTACGATATTGCAGACCTTGGACTTGCATTCGTTGTAATAAAAGTGTTGTTTTTTTGCACATAAATTTACAATGACATTGTCAAATCTCAAAATGCCCAGCGATATTTCAGCAACCGTCATGTTTATTTATATTTGATATTGTAGTTCCGGTCAGTGTTGTATTAATACGCTAAGAATGGTGTCTCGTGATGCATGGTAATTAAAGTCCCATAACGACACAGCTTTCGAAGAGGCTATATAGTGACAATGCCATGTACATATAATGTAATAACCTGCACATAAACTCATGGCCACTCATTCGGTCATTTTTTTTCTCTGAAAATATGCGTTCTTGGAATTCCTTGGGTTGTTTGCCTGAGTTGGACAACCTCACATCACCTAAGGTTATATATAAACAAACTGAAGACAGTGTTTATGAAGCCACTCAGTGGCTTTCTTACTAAAATCACATCTTAATAAAATACTATATATTACCCGCAGAGGGCAGAAAAGCACCCAAAGGAAACGCCACTGATTATGAAGATTAATTCAGGGAGAAAAGATAATACAGGACGTTAAAAAATTGTTATGGGAGTAGTAGATGAGTTTAAATGTGATTTTATACATAAATATATACTTATTATCTAAAGTCACAAACAAAAACATATGAAAACAATGGAATAAATGTCTCCCTTCGAAGCCTCTTGATGTTAAAATAACAGTGTATTTGCCTATCGGGACTTGTAGCCGGCAGCAGGTTATGCAAGGGCATCCAAGACCATAAATCGTCCAATAACAGACAACAACGAAACATTAATGTCCCCAGTTTTCTCTAGGGTCTATAATTTTCTATCTGAAAACCTATAAAACAAGCCCTTCAGCTCTTTAAAGGAATTAGTAATTTCATTTAAATTTTGACATAGCTAAAAAAATACATTTCTGAATGTAACTTGAAGTTGAGTGCATGTGGTTTCTGGAGATTTACCAGCAAAAATGATTAATGATTAGAATTAAAAAATGACTTTCAATGGCATTTCACAGATTTAAATTTCAGTTGCGATTTGCAATCGGAATCAAAACGAAATCACTCGAATTGATGGAAAAGGTGATTAGGACAGTTTATGTCTTTATCCCCTTGTCGACGACAAAGTCGTGATTAATCTTTTACATCATGCTTAAGTTATTTGTCTCTGTTATTCCTCTCGCTGTTTTACGTCCCATTACAGCTTCAATAGCTCATACGATTATGTTGACAACTGACAATTACGCCGCCCAATGACAATTGTGTCATTGTCACCATGCTTCCATGCTTAGTGTACAAGAGACAAATTACAAGTGAGCGTTTCACGTGCTGCGAAGGAAGTACAGTAGCAGTTCATATTTAATTCCCTCCTTGAATTAACTTTGTAAGCAAACAAGGCTTCAGAGAAAAGGACATTCAGCATTCGACCCAAGGGTATTTTTTTATAGTTGTTTACTGCACCGACCGTATTAATACGGAAAATAAACCATTTGGATTGCAGCATAGTTGTAAGTGATGTGTCGACGATAGCTCTCCATGATAAGATAGTTGGTTGAATTGATTCAGAAAGGATTTAACTTTTAAAGTAGCTCTCCAGCTAAGAACCATGCAATGGGTGATACACCCATAGTCAAGGATATATATCTAGTGCGGTTAGATAAGTTCAATTATTTGGAAAACTAATAAGAATGGCAAGCAACGGACCAAATATCATTATGTTGCTATGGTAACAGTCCTGTCTTAGCAACAGGCCTTTACTTGCCTCAAAAACCTCAGTCTTGCATCATTTTTCATAACAATTTATTCATTAAGTACATTAATTTCAAAACATTTGCACAGGTACATGATATTGTACTGTACCTGAAATATCCTGAAGATATGTTGTTATCTTCATGACTGCGTTGACAATGGGTTACCAGGACAACCAATTTAACACACAATTTCTTAATGAAAAAAGTACTAAAAGTTACAATTTTTGCATTTGACTATCTCTTATGAGCAAGTGAATAGAATTGATCTGGTTGATTGTCCTATTACAGTTGTCTTTGGCCTAAAACATATCAAAAATAAAAATATGTAGACTATTATTGATTTTTTAGAAAATTGCATTCCTGTCACCCTTTTTTTCCAATATGACAAAAATGTGGAATTAAGCAGTTTTCAGTGTCTGCTATCATTCTACTCCAATAAAATGGGGGTAATATGTTATGCTATAAGGTTTCAATAGGTTTCATTTGACAATTTCATGCCAAAAAATGGTTGTTGCCCCATAAGGTTTAATCAATAAATTGCAGTTTATCTGTGCTAAAAACAGATTCTTTTCGTAAAAAAATGAAATTCAGGTAATTTTAAAAGAACAACAATTTTGTTAACAACATAACATTTTTAATCATTTGAAACAATGCATTGATGAAAGTAGTACATACTGGTACATAAGGCAGGTCAAAGTCTGCTGACACCAATTGATTTCAACAAATGTTACTCCTGACCAACTATTATACCAACAAATGTTACTCCTGACCAACTATTATACCAACAAATGTTACACCTGACCAACTATTATACCAAATGATGTTTCCAAGTTTTGCACAGTTCATAAAGGTTCAGTATGTGATAAAAAAATTGCAAATTTGCCACATGAGAGCTGTAAGGGAATCTCATAAAGAAATAGCCCTTTTTTTCACTCAAGTCAAAATGAACTCCCCTTAATATCGTCTGACCAAAAAACTATTTCTTCATGCACATATTCGTATGGCGGACTACAATTGTGTGAAGTTTCAATGAAATCCATTCACTGGTTTAGGAGAAGTTGCGATTAAAAGAAAGTATGATAAAAAAACCCCACAATCATCTTATTTTATTCTACTAGCCGTTTTTCTATATGCATACAGGGGTACCAATAAAAAAAAGTGAAATTCGCATACTATACAAATATCGTCTCCTGGTACCTATCCCGTAATTTTCAACGGCAATTGGCATTGTTGACTGGTTTAATTTGTGCAGTCATACCAGATAATGACCTCGTGTAATTGCTAATGTACATACCACTCTTTCTCGAGTTAAAAAAAGGGTTTAGAATAAAGTTATTTCATGTTATGGTGCAGGATAAAAACAATACATGCATATTGTCAGAAATATCAAAATCATTTGTACTCGCCTCGTATTCTACCTGTTTCTAAGTCTCATGTACATGTATTGTTTATTTCTTCTTTAAATGATGTCTGAAAGAAAAAAATATTCATCCATGCACATATTCATATGGTGGGATACCACTATGTGAAGTTTAAAAAATATATTTACAGGTTTAGGAGGAGTTGCACTTACAAGATAATGGGCAAACAGACAGACAGACAGGATGATTTCCAATTAACCCCATGCAGGGGGTATACAAATGATTATGTTTACATAGAATTACTTAGACAATAATGTTTAAAAATTCTACAGAGTTTAAGTGGGCAACAACTGATTCTAGGTCAGCATCATCAATGGTCTGTCTGTTGCTAGGTGGAACTTTACTCTGTCCTTGCTGTAAATATTCATTTGGCTGAAACATCTTCATCCATGCAAACCCTCATGTGGTTGGCTGCATCCATAGGGTTGACCTTCTTGCCACCTTGTCCTGCCTCAAATATGCCTCTTAGAAAAGTTTTAACCTTTTCAAAGAAACGGTTAATCTTCCTATCTTTTCGCAGGGCCCAGCCTTTTGGTAACATTGCATTACCATGATTACAATGGCTTTCACCGTTTCTTGTGAATGACATTCTGACTGCTAGTGTTTCACAGACGTCCTTCCAATGAAGCTTTATACTGTCAAAACTTGATGTTTTGTTTAAAACAAATTTGTGTTTTCCTACCAATAGGTGAGCTTCAATGCCAGAAAATGTAAGAAACACCCTGGTGCAGCCTTCTTCAGGACATTGTACGACATAACCATTGTCAGAATTTGATGTTGTGTTCTTGTACAGGTGTTAACGTTGTCGCTTGACCATTATCAGATGAGGCCACAACAGTATTCCTTACACTTCCTTCGGTTGAATCAGGCTGCTTCAAGTCCTCTAAGATAATCAGACCAGTTTCTGATTGCTTTGTTGGAGACATCATAGAAACTTCTTCTTTTGAAAGAAAAGTGCCATCTCCTATGCCATAGGCTCTCCAAGTTCTGATTGAACCATCTTGGTTGAAATAAATGTTGTTGATTTTGGTGATTCCTTTAAGAGAGTGACTGTAACATGTCTGTTTCTTGAGATCTATTTGGACCACTGCAGCTTGACAACCAGCAATACATAGAAAAGTAACATATACAACATGTACATCATATAAATATTTATCCTGCAACTAGCCCATTTTCTACATACATACAGGGGTATGAATAAACAATAGTGATATTCGAATATTATACAGATATCGTCTCGTGGTACCCATCCTAATCACTTTCAACTGCGATTTGCATTGTGCACTTGTTATCTGCAGTGGTACCAGATAATGACCGCATTGAACACTATGATTGTGATGACATTTTTGCTGTAAATGCTGATTAGTCCTGTCACTCAGTGCATATCTAATACAGTGATCTCTATTTGCACATGTAGCTTAAAATTGGATTTTAGATAAACTTTACTGGTATGAATGTTTTTTCCAATGTCTTTGAGCTTCTGGCTATTGTCAATGATATGAGCCTGTATATCAGCAAGTAGTTTTGTCAGGGATTCATATATATATATATATATATTGCGGCTCCATCTGCTGCAATATTATCCAGTCCCTTCAGATTGGCTCTTTTAGATGCTGGGCATGATTGCAGTATTTTACGATAGAGGAAGACAGTGGATTGTAGTCAGATTCTCTACAGAAAGAATGATAGGTCTTGATTAGAGTAGAATGGCAAACTGTTCTGACTACTTCAGGAATTTTGATAATTTCACCACATTGCGGCCTCATTTTTTGTACCAAAAGAGCATACCTGAAAAAGAATAGTTTTCATGCTATAAAGTTTATATATACAATGTACTCAAATCAATGTGTATTTCAAAATTTTTGTAAAGATGCAACTAAACGTCTTCCTTGCATTTTTCAAGTTTCCCTTCTTGGGACCCAGTGAGAAACAGAAAGGTACTGGATTCTAAGGTAGGAGCAAAAGTGTGTTTCTATTCCTGTATTTGCAATAAAATGTGGATTTAGACATGTTAGAAAGATATGAATAATTGGTCTTCCTGCTTTGAACTGTAACTTTAAGACAATAAAATCACATATTTGATGTTGCAGTTCAAAGTTTTTCCTTGAAACAAATTCTTATTACCAGTATCTATCTTGCTTCAAAATATCTTAGATTTTCCAAAATTACCTGATGTTGGGTTAAATAAAAATTCTAAAGCATGAGAAAGTTTATCTTGGTCTAGCCTCTGCCTGAAATGTTCTTCCTTTTTTTGCAGCAGGAGCACCTGTAATAAATGTAGTATGGAAAAAAAAAATAAAAAAAAAATATATGTATTTTTTTTTAATGAAAACTCAGGAAGGAGAAAGTTACAAAAGCAATGTTACGCTATTCATTAAATAAAGCACAAGGAGTATTTCCCTAAAACAGTTTCCCATCAATTTTAAAATGAAGAAAAAGTGAGCATGCCGACAACAGAATGAAATTTGAAAAGTCTATGTGAAGCGTTAAGCACTATTTTGATTCATGAAAGGCAATAACTCCTTAATGATAAATTCAAAAATTGTCTAATATAAACTTAACCTTTTTTCGAGATAATAACCAAATTTTGAAAATCTACATATGTTAAGTGGTTTTCAAATTATTTAATTGATTGATTGATTGATTGATTGTTTGTAGTAAAAGTTTATCATCCATTGGAAGATAATTCAAGTTTTTCAGAACATATAAAAACAATTACATGTAAGTAATGAATTTCTACGTGCCGCGTTTTGGTTCCTGTGTGTTGCCTATTCAAAATTTGCGCTCCATGGGCGCTTGCTCAAAGGTGAAATATTATAACGAGTTGTACAGTTAACAATGTAAACAAATGTGGATCTCGATACGAGTATAAACATAAATGTAACTACACACATATATACAACGTTTTGAGCATTTTGAGAGAACTAAGAAAACAGCACTTTGTAACAAACCTCAGCGTAACAAAAATCATTGATGCAATTTTTACACTAAGGGCTGTGACAGTGCCTCCCTGATACCTCTAAGTTTCTTTTAAGGTAGGGTAATTTGCGTCAATCTAAATAGAACCTTATTCAAAAATTCCATTTCAAGCTAGTATGAAAGAGAATTTCAAGAAAGAATTTTAATAGATTGGCTCCAGTGTGTTCCTTACAGGTCATGCAAAATGTTGGCCAGTTCCAGGATACAGCAGGTACAATGTATGACACGATCTGTCTTGATAAAGAATTGGACGCTTATGCGCCATTCAACTTCGAGGCCGTTTGGTAGAGTTGTATAAAACAGCAAATTGAGACTTTCAGCAACTTTGTCACCTAAGCTTAGAATGTCGATTTGGAATAATCTGCCAGGTTATTTGTCCTATTTGGGTTTTCCCTGACCTCTCCGGCGATTCATAGAAAAAAAATCCAGCTGTGGTTAGGCCGTAAACCCCCTTTAAAAGAGAAACTCTTTGAGCTTTGATGACACCTCCTCTTTCAATTAAGTTTTCTTTTACATTACAAACAGTATACGTTTTTCTTTTATTCAATGCAATTCTTTTCTTTTAAGGTCATAGTCATTATTTCATGGTTCAGCAATATCACCATTTACCACAATGATTATTTTGTAGAATTATTGTGGTAGAGAGCCGAAATATTTCCTGACGCTAAAGGCGTCCTTCCTTTCGTACTTTAGAGAGACCGGTTTGTTCTATGAGGGTTGAGATTGCATGGGATTAAACAGAAAGTTGCCTCGTAGATATCACTCTTCCCGGGTTGGTACTTTGTTAAGGCAACACACTCATTTATTATCAGTGGTATCATCTGTTGCGTGTAACCAACTAGTGGCCTGTGCTGATATTGTTTTTGACTTAATAACGATCTTCTTAAAGACACGAAATCTGGAATCTGCGAAGATTTACGATAATTAGACGATCGCAAAATATCACTTTTCCCTAAAACACCAATTACTTAAAGTTTCCCAGAACAAGAAATATTTTTAAAAACAGATAAACGGCAGAGTTTTGATGTATATATGTGGTTATAAGATGAAATAGCTGTGCCATTGCTTAAAACATATGATGAGAGCAATGGATATCAAAGAAATTAATGTCTGCACCAAAATATTTACGATTTACTTGTAAGTGAAAACCATGTTGATCGTTTAACGGGAGATAACCCGCAAAGTGTATCACACGTTTTACATGTGTATGGCGCCGACGTCTCAAATATCGAGCTGAATATAGTAAAAATAAGTAGATTCCGTGTTATTCGTGTGTCACTTAGATATAACGTAATCATCATAAGAGATAGAAAGCATAATACATCATAAAAAATTATATGTTCATGTATAAAGAGATGAGTAAACATATGAAGTGTGTAGCTCGGCGCCATTTTGTGATGCAGGTACCAAATTACGCGACCACAGTGCGGTTCGGTTCGTTTCTAAAACCGAACTGTCATTTTGTAGAACAGTGTTGTTAACTGTTTGAATCAGAATGCACAATGGATTCAAAACGATCCAAAGCAGCTCTAACAAAGTCCCAGCTCGCTTTAAACCCAAAACCGCTTCTCGTTTTACCCGAGATCTAATTCTTTGTATAAAGGCATCCCAACCGGTGCCACCTAGCTATAGCGCGTCATATAACATAGAGGGCTTTTGAAGCGAATCTCAAGCAAACACAAAATGTATTTAAGGAGTAACGCCGATCCTGTATTTCATGAAATTATGATATATTATATACTATATAAAAAACCGTTTTTTTACCATAAGGACTAGGTAATAGCTATATACTAGATATCATATATCAACGACATCAGAAATAAGGCTATTGTACAGATATCTCATGAACATAAGAAAATATCTTTCATACTGTGTATCGTGAACATTTTCGCCGCGGTTCAATTTCCGCCTTTGTCGCCCTTCGGAATAAAGCAAAGGTGAGGTCAGCATTTGGCCCCCACTTTGATTTCCTTTATTCTTTTGCCATATGTAGATACATAAAAATGATCAATAACTGCATAAATGATTATCCATAATTGTTACTGATAACCGAAGTGGACCTCCTTGCATAACACCAGGTTGAGTGACGGGGGTATCCTAACAAAATGACCGAAAATATCACAGGCAAATGTTAATTTGGAAATGAATTATGATAGTGTGTATATAGTGTATAAAATTACTGTTATTTTGATACTAAATATGTCATATTGGTAGACATGAAGTAAGCGTAGTGATACTTTTAATTGGAAAAACATGCAAAATTTTCACAAAATTTAAAATAAAACTAACATTGTCAACTTGCCTTTATATAGTTACAATGGTAGTCTATATTTTAAACTTCTATAAAAACTTCCTGTATATGTATTCTGTCTACAGAATCATTTGTATGTAATATCAAAACCGGTAATGTATTTTTTTAGCATGCCAAACATGATCAATGCCCAATTTCACATAACCTTGAAGATTTGACTATCAATGTTTGCTATGATAAATACCGATACATTTTCTGTTTTTGTATCATACTAACACATATGTTAGGCATGTTTTCAAGTTATGTGCAGCAGTAATAACGCATGAATATGTATTCTGTCATAGTAATATTTCCTCTGGAGAACTACTTTAGGTCTGAGATTGTGTTATAGACAAAGCTATGCAATTATATAAAAATAAATAAAATAATCTTAATAACAAAAGTTTTATACACTTTATTATACCCCCGCAACGAAGTTAGGGGTGGGGGTGGAAATATACTGGAATCAGCTTGTCTATCCGTCTATCTGTCAACTCATTCTAAAGTAATGGACCAATTTCAACGAAAGTTTCCAAATATGATAACTGACACCTGAAGTTGTGCATACAGGTATTATTTTTCATTCTGACCTTTTTTCCCCTCAAAGTTATGGCCTTGTGTTGAAAAATCCTTGTCCGGCTATGTCCTCCAAAACTAATGGGTCAATCTCAACGAAAGTTTCCAGATAGGGTAACAACCATCTGATAGTGTGCATCCGTGAATTCTTTTTTAAATCTGACCATTTTTTTAACGGAGTAATGGCCCTTTGTTGAAAAACACTTGTCCAGACAACTCCTCCAAAACTATGGGGCCAATTTCAACGGAAGTTTACAGATATGGTAACTGCCCCCTGACATTGTGCATACAAGAAGTATGTTTTCATTCTAACCCTTTAAAAAGGAGTAATGGAGTTTTCTTGAAAAACACATTTTGTCTGCCTCTCACACTTCTTGGCCAATTTCATGAAAGCTTACAGATATGGTAATTACCCCCTGATGTTTGCATCAGGGTAGTATTTGTTCATTTCGACCCTTTTAAGGAGTTATGGCCCTTTGTTAGAAATCTTTGTCTTGGTAACTCTTCCTTAACTACTAGAACGATTTCAGTAAAAGTGGGTCATCTAGGCTAACAAGATGTGGTATGAAAGTATGTTTTGGCATAGGGAGGGAGTACAAGAAGTATGTCAGTGATATATACACATACATAATTACTGGTGGTAGACTATGGATTAATTTGCAATGCTTTGCCTTAGTTAGCCTTTATATTACAGTTCTGGTTTATATAGGAGCGGTGGTTTTAGTTAATCTTTGGCTTACATTTCTAGTATTTATTTTTGTAGCCTTTTGACCATTCATATTACACTATTTTATATCGTTAACTCTAAATAAATAAAGCAAGTAAAGATACCCTTGTCTGACTCCACATACAAAAAAATATATCGGCACATTTGGTTTTTGTGACCTTGAACAAAGGTCATCAAAACTAACAACACTTAAACTCATTTACATCAACAACCTTCTCACCAAATATCAACACCCAATGACCTTTAGTCATGAAGAAACACAGGTTAAAGGAAATGTGGAAAGAAAGCTATGTTTTCCTTTTTTTGAACCAAAAGTAGTATACGACAAATTTACCGGTTTTCATTTTTTTTGAAATTCCTGATGTTGAAAGATGTTAATGGTAGCCAACTTTTTAACAAGTTAGAAAAATATACTAGTTTTAGAGCTATAGGAATTAACGTGTCTAAAATGGAAAATTCTCATAAGAAATGAAATTTCACACATTTTTCTGCTTAATTCTTAAATACAAAGAACAATTCTTTATTGAAATTGTGTAATATTCGGTATCAAAATAACAGTTGAAATACGTTGCACACGATGATGATATAATTTTATAGTAATTGTGCCATTTAAATGCTCTAGGAGGAATTGTATTAATGCACATTTATAACCCATACAAGTGTAAGTCAAGGAGGTCCCATTTATCATCAAATGAATTCTGAAACTAACTGTACCTGATTTATCCATACGTTTTTGGATTTATCTTGTTTTGAAATTCCAAGTGGGGGCCGACGCTAATGTTAAATCTCCATAGGCGTTGACCCTACCTTTAAGAATACAGCGAAAAGTAGTAAGCGATATAAAAACATAGAAATCAAAGGTGAAAGGCGAAATTAGCATCAGGCGAAAATGAATTTTACTGGCGTAGGGCGATTTGCCTGAATGAAAGAGGTCAATATGTAAGGTCGGTTTGCCATTGTGGTCTCTGTAGTAGTGAAAGACAATTGTCCATTGCCAAGTTGTGACCAATTTTATATAACTACTATCGAAGCATGCAGAACGAAAAATCTATTTAAACGAGCTTTGACTAATTTGAAATGAAATGTATCAATCGATGCGGAAAGCCACAGAAATTCCGGCTTTACTTTTCAAACTGGCACAGGGGAGACAACCGTTATAGGTGCGCGGTATACAGCAGGAGAACAGTGATCGAGCCAGAAAAGAAATGTTCTGATTTATCATCTGATGAAGAAAGGAAGATGAAATTCCAAAAATGATAGAAAATTATAACTGTATCGTATGTTGATTTGTATATTAAAACAGAAAAACATCGTATTTTTTATTTAGTCACCACTTTTCTCGACTTTTTACTTCTCTTGGACAGTAAACTAAACTAAATGACTATGGGCGCGAGCTCTCTTTGACATTTTTTTCTATTGGACTAATGCCTTGAAATTTCATGACATCCAAATAGATTTTTTACAAATCAAATATATGAACCTTTCCATCGCCAACATCTTTTTTTCACGTACAGTTAGTGGTCTGTGGTGGGGAATTGTCCTAGTCATCAACACTATAAGGAAATATCTCCCTCAGTGAAGGATTACAATGGAAATAATACTCGTGGCATAAATAATTTTGTACCACAAAGGCAGTACAAATGCAATCGGAGAGACAAGCTAATCGCTTATAATCATACTGTATTGTCTTAGCAGATATAATACCATATAGTTCCTGCATTAACTGATGCATGACACACAACATGGAATTTAGTATTAGCAAAACAAATCACGATAATATCTTCTTTTTGGTGATACAGAAAAATCATAATATTAGCCGATTTATTCTGACAGGTCACCACCTTATGTTTGTAGGGCGTGAATGAAACCCTATTAAACCAAACCAATCCATACCGACAGACAACAAAATATCTTGTTTTAACTTATATAATATGACAGACCCCTGCAGGTCGGGGTTCAAGAAAAGAATTTCCCTGTTGTAATTGTAAAAGAGGACTTATGTGGGAACCCCCCTGCATAATTGAGGATTTGCTTTTGTGCCCTCTACTTGGGGACACAAAAACGACCAAAATAAATGTTCAGCGCTCAATGCAATATTTGGGATCATTTTATTTATTTCTACTTCTAACTACCTTTTATATCCTAGTGCCTTGTTTGTTAATTCATTACTTTTGGTTTGAATGTTTAGCATTCGCCAATTTGAGGAAGACAATTGGTTGTCCCCAGGCCGAGACATACCAAAGTCCTTAAACATGGTAGTTGTTATTCCCAGCTTAACGTTAAGCATTTAGGGGAATGGCATCAACTGGTTCAGTATAATGTGACCAGGCAGAATGTTGTGCTGGGTGCCTTTGGCATGCTATTTCAGTGAGGTAGCACTATAAAGTTGGCATCATATCTTCGCTATCACAAGGAGGCAAGCACACTAACATACCCTTCCCCCTGCACACATACATGCAAGCATGCATGTACAACAACAATGGGATCCCGTCCATAAATGACCTCAGCTGTTGATAGTGCGTTTAACAAAAATAAAACCAAATCAGACATACCATAGAACTCTTGTGCTACCTGTTATTCTGTCTTTTCGTATTGCAGAGTTATCTGCTCTTGTGAGCAGGTATTGATCATTACGTCATTCGTTTGTGTGGGGAAATTACGTCGGTTTCTAAAAAAAATATGACGTTACCCACATAAACAAATGAAGTAACAATCAATAGCTGCTCACAAGAACAGATAACTCTGCAATACGAAAAGACGGATTAATCTGACAGACCACAGTTCTAACTCAAGTGTATTAGCCGATATAATAAGAAAGTGCCCAGTGTTTTGCATTAACTGTATGAGTAGTTGAAGAAAGACAACGCAATAGATGGTGTCTGCTGATATACTTTATGATGATAAAAACACATTTTCCTTTGGAAACTTTGACATACAAACATGTAAAACAAGAACAGAACCACTCGATCACGATAAAAAGTATAAAGACATTTAACTTAAAAAATGAGACTGGATTATTTTTTGTTCATCTTATGGACGAAATACATGTATATGTTCTAGCTAAAAAATGATACAGTCATAGCAGGTAGTTTTCAGTGTTTTGAATAACAAAATTCTGTCACAAACTGTAACTTCAATTATACGTTTCTTTTCAATTATCCCAATATCATCATATCTCTATATAATTAACACAACTTTCTCTGAGTAAATAGTTTCCAACCCTTAATTTGGATGCTCTGTAAAACAGAGATTATTCTTGCGGATGTTCGTTCGAAGCTGGTTGGTCTCGGACTATGTAATGCAGAAGGTCAAACTCCTGTAAAGTCCTCATAGCGATACTGTCCCAGCCCTTGTTCGCCTGCGGGTTCAAGGGGCTGGGATGTTGCAGGCAGTGAACTTTGATATTGGTGATGTTTGCCTCCTTCAGTGCCTGAAGAGCTCTTGCCTCAACGTAGCGCCCTATCGCAACAATGACCTGGATATCGAACATATCAATAAGTTCAAGAAGTGCAGCCGAACACGCCTGAGTGAGCATGTTGCGGTCCCAGACAAAGAGTTCTGGTGGGGTAAGGTTTCGCCCTGATCGTGCCATGAACGCCAGTGGACACATGTTATGTATAAGGCAGTTCTTGAAAAAGTTCTCCGGTGACTTGCAGTAGTTCTTGAAAAATCCCCAAAACCTTGAGCCGCTGACCTGGAACATGAGACAACAAAATACTGTAAGTTGACATACATGAAAAAACTAATTTCCTCGACAAGTCGCAGTTGCTCGTCATAAAAATAAACTTTTTGTCCCAATTTTCATGTTATACAGCATTTCATCTCTCAGTCGAAACAAAAAAATGTATATTACCTACAAGTTATACTGTAAACGTATAGGTTTTAGCAGTAGTTTTATTTAAGCGCTTTCACACAGAAAATATTGCGCTAACCTTTTCACCACTTCAGACCATAATGTATATATCCAAATTACATAGGGGTGAAAGGGTTAAATTATCAATGTGCCAATTGAAGATCATGTATGCAGATCTCAGTTTCATATTTTGTTCCGATTCATTATAATGTAATAACGTGTAAAAAACTGATATCGCGCTAAAAAGTTAGTTTGCTAAAATAACAATCTAATTATAATTATCTGTTACATTGCTTCGTTTACTTCGTACTACGTTCAGACATAGTGCGAATTTAACGAAGCAATGTCACAGATGATTTTAATCAGATAGGCTAAACAAGTACGTTCACAACATACATGTGTATCAATGAAGTGCTTGCATTTTTAAATATAAACTTTATTTATTTTACAACAATTATGAAACAAGTTATTTCAACTTATATTAATCACTTGTTGTGGGAGGTAACCGGAGTACCCAGAGAAAACCCACATGGTCGGGCAGGTGACCCCATACCTGTTACGTCCGATCAGGGAATTGAACCCCTGTCGCCTTGGTGAAAGGCAAGGGCGCTATCCACTGCACAAAACGACCACCCACTTTAGTGCTTGCATTAAAAATGGGGGGGGGGGCAGAACGATGTAAAATAAAAGTGTTCACAATAATCAGTTCTGATTCTTCAAAGAGAGTTTCAAAAAAGAATTTACAGAGACGAAATAAATCAACATATCACACCTATTCACTTCACTGTTTCAGTTGGGAAAAGTACATATACATGTGAACATTTCACACCACGAAACGATCTGAATAGCTTACAACAATGACAGAAAGAACACACGCACAGTTCATGTTATGCAGGATATAATGTATACCCTGTAACCATATAGGTTTTCTCTGTGGCGTAAAATAGAGGCAACCTACCGTAAGTTTGAAGAGAAAAGGGGAGATAATCACTTTCAGTACAGATAATCAAATTTTAAAATTTGTTTGTTACACTGACAGAAAACAAATGATTAAATTTCTCTCATTAATATTCATTATCTTATTATTCTTCACGTTTATAATTGTTACGAATGTATAGGCAATTGTCATACATGTATGTCTACCATAATGTTTAAAAGTTTTAACAAAATATTAGTTCTACTGGATTTTTTTTATAAATAGACGCTAAAGTTGTTTTACAATAAAAATGATAAAAGGAAAAAAACTTAACATCTATCTTTGGTTTTTCATTACAACCCTTTCAACCCCAGGTAACTCTAATGGACTCTTTCATGCATTTATCAGGATGAGTCCATTATGGTCTACGGTGGTGAAAGAGATAATATCAGAACTTCTTTGAACTCTTCAAACCAAGTACATGTAATAACAAGAACCATTTAATGAATAAGGAAAAAGTGTCAGAACTTCACAATAAAAGACATGCATTTTGAATGTAGTCCTAGGGACATGATGGAGAAATAAACGGTATGTTAAGATCTTTGAGAGATTTGTTTAATACCGACCTCTGAACGATGACAGGCCAGTCCCATCACTGGTCGTTTAGGATGTTCTCGCGCAGGTTTGTGTACGGTGCCCTTTATTCCAAGCCAGTCTCGAACTGTTCCCACCTCACCAAACGGTACCTGGTGGAAAAGTTTACAAAACATTGAAAAACATAGGGAAATAGAAGATTCAATCTGTATACATGTATCGATACATGTTTGCACATCTGATGAAATAAGGGTGGTTCATTAGTATCCCTGTCCCCGTGCAGGCAGAACACTAGAGAATTCCACTGTAGTTTTTAATATACATACAGTAACCTCTCCTTAATTCTATATTAGATAAACCTGATGCTTGAATGAGCCACATATATACTATCATAGACCAGATAACTCAGTAGGTTAGAGTGACAGAATAAAGATCCGAAAGATCTAGCATAGGGTTCAAATCCTGGTCTGGTCCCCAGATCTTTTCATAATCATCCGACAAGGCAGATTTGTTTCTTTTCAAAAATCATTTATCAAACCTATACAAAAAGAAAAATATTTCTGAAGCTCAAATATATTTTTTGGCATCAGTACAGGTATCCTCAATTTATAATTTTAAAACTTTTCCAAAAAACATTCACGTTTTAACCTTGAACAGAGACAAAGGTAAACATCAACTTACTCCGTTCTGAGACATTCCGAAGGGTCCAGGGTTCATCCCGAGGAACAGTATAGGTTTCTGTTTGTTGGTGTACCGCCTGACAAAATCAGCATGAGTCTCGAACGCATACACCAGTGGATTGTAGATATGGGACACAGGTTTCTGAAACTGGATTCCTCGAAGTTGATTACATAACTTCTGTTCCAGCAACAAATATTGGTCTGAGAGAGAATATTCACCGTCTAAGACAGAGAAATTAAAAATTGTCAAAATTGGTTGTCTGGTTTCTGGCTCCTGTTTGATGACCACACTGCTAACATCACTATCCTTCGTTTCCGAATTGTCCAGAGACTTTTCCGTTGTTTTCGTTAGATTGTTCTCCAACGGCACATCTGTCCGATGTTCAGATACCATGTACCAGTGATTACACAGACTGTAGTCATAATCGTCATCCCCGTCTGCGTCCTCCTCCTTCATTTTACGTTTTCCGTAACCCTTGCTGCGTTTTTCAGGACTCTTTCCGTAGCCCTGGTGCTGATGTTTCACCAGCTCGTCGTAGTTTGAAGCTTGTTGCTGACCGTATGGCACCATGCCGGGCGGGAACTGCCCGTACTGTAGTTGACGTTGCTGTGACATGTAATAACTGTTGGCCACAGGGGCTGCCCTGTCCATCATTGGGTAGTAAGGATTTCCACGTCCCGGCATTTTCTCTAGCTGAGAATAGTAGGAGCTAGCACTCTGGGTTAGAGATTCTGGGTGTCCGTATGCTGACGGATTTGGACTAGAGGTCATTGGAAATCTTCCATGTAGTGAGTACATAAAGTCCGGATTTAATACTGGCGACATTTTACCCTGATGTTGATAATATGGATGATAAGAAGGACTCCCTGCATCCATTGTGCCCTCAGAGCTGGCATATGCCCCTGCCCCAGGGGGAAGCCTGCTTCCGGGGGGTAAGCTGAGAAACCGCGGGTCTGCACTTTCAGTCAATTGGTAACTTGTACCCCCATCTGATGGAGGCCCTCGGGAGTAGGGAGAATTTGCTGTAGTTGACAAATGTTTTGGTTGTGTCGAAGGATAGGAGCCTCCCTCGCTGCTTTGCAGCATACCTGATGTAGGATAAGTGGAGCTGGTGGTCGTAAGAAGCCCACGTTGGAGACTATAGTTCATGCCACTATGGGCGTTCTGTGGGCCACTGTGGCCACTGTGAGCTGTTGGTGGCTGCTGTATACTGTGAGCACTGGGTGGCATCTGGCCACCAGTGGCGTTGGTATAGTGTGACGATGCGGAGCTGGTTGGAATACGGTCCTGTTGGGAATACACAGGGTTCTGTATCCTCTGAGATAATGTGTAGCTAGCACTTTCAGATGGTGTCAGTCGATCAGACAGCGAATAGTCGGCGTTTGCACTGCCCAGATTTTCTGGGAAGTTCGAACTGGGAGTGAGTCTTTCAGAGTGAGCAAATGTATTGTTGTTGGTACCTTGGTGTCTTTCAGACATAGCAGAAGCATAGCTGGTGGTACTTGGCGTAAGCCGTTCTGCAAATTCTGCTGCTAGGTTGGCCGGCAATCCATCTCGAAGGGAAGAGAAGTCTGCACCTGGATTGGTTGGTAGTCCACGGTCGGGTAGATTATAATTTGAACTAGAGCCAGGAGTGAGTCGGTCTGACAGGGCATAATTTGAAGCTGCACTCGGAGTCAGCCTCTCCGACAACGGATAATTTGTGCCTGCTCCAGCAGTTAATCTTTCAGGTAAAACAAAATTTGAACTACTTCCTGGTGTGAGACGTTCTGAGAGAGAAAAGTTTGTAGCACTGGCCCCGGGGGTGAGTCTCTCCGAGACATTGTAGCTGGTGGCACTGGCCCCAGGGGTGAGACGGTCTGCCATGTAATTAGACCCTGTACCAGACTGTAGCCTTTCTTGCAGGGTGTAATTGGTGCTCCCACCTGATGCCTGACGATCAACATAATTTGATGACGAATTTTGGGCCAATCGTCCATGTAGGGAATAATCCAGACCTGGGCCTGAACTGGCTGATAGCGGGTCAGAAAGGGAGTAATTTGCACTCCCTCTTGCCCCACCTCTGTCTTGAGAGGGGTACCCCATAGGGGACCCCAACGATAGACTGTCTGCAGAGGGAAAGTTTATGCCCCCGCCGCCCGGGAGAAATTTCTCCGACAAGCTGTTCAACACACTCTCGGGTATATCCATGACTTATGATCGACACAAACTAACACTGGGCAGTAGTTTTCCAAAATAGTTGAAATCTGAGCAGTTTGTTAATCCGTTCAACAGACGACATATCATAACAAAGTTTTTTTTAAACAATTACGAATAATAATTACTGAACACTTGGTGATCAATGGAGAACGATTTTGAGATTCTGTGAATTTGTAGAGATCTGTTTGACACAAAGTAGACTACAGATGTTCATTACTTTGTTTCTTGTATTTATCCAATTAATGACATTAAAAATAAAACATGTTAGATTTGAAACAAAGTTGTTGACATATACAAATTTCGGTAGTAAATTACACATAAATGTTATCACATTATTTCAATGGATGCCCTAAATACTAATAATACTGAGATTATATTTTTTCAATCATAAATTAGCTGAATGTTTCATATCAATTTAATTTTTATAAATTTTGTAATATTATACAAATCAAAATCTATTATTTTACATTGTAATTGAATTTAAAAACTGGAGTTTAGAATCAAATTCATGATTTCAATGAATATTTTAATGAAGCAAAAATTTGAAAATGCACCAAATCACAACCTCTGTTATGTAAATAATTCTTAGTTCATTATAAACTTTCTTTGCCATGTGTTAGTCCTATCAATATAAGTTATCATTTCAAGTTTATAGTTATTTAACTAAATGTCTAAAATTTCTAAAAGTGTTTTAATTCAAAGAATATAATTCACAGAAAAAATAACAATATGGTCACTGCCTATATATAGTTAACCAGATGTAGATAAAAAATGTTCAAGCAGAGAAAAAAATTGGCGCTTGAAACTTTAAAAGAACAAACACCAAATTGTTGACTTGATCCTATATGTATATCAAAAGATAAAAAGACGAGGAAAGTATCAGAGACAGGTCAAAAGCAAAATGTGATCCAAAACATGTAGATATTCAAGTAAAGAAAGAGACAATGTTTGAACTGATGAAGAGAAATTACGTCGTTACAATACACGGATATTGTTTTGGAAACAAGATAACTCCTTCACACACTGACACGAGACACGGGAAATATATATTCCAAGAGATCTAGACCGGTTCATATGTGTACCAAAGGGTTCTGATTCAGGCTAATTCACAAGATGTAAAGCCATATGCTTGGGTATAGTGTATTCCTCTGTTGTGGTTAGGTTTGGTTAATATCCAAGTCTATAAGTTTCCATAGGAACAACAAATTAATGGTAAATTGGTTAATATCCATGTTTAGTTGCCTTAGGAACAACAAGTTAATGGTTAATAACAAATTCAGCTTAATCCACGATGACGTTTAAATCCAAGTGAAGTCTGTCTAGATCCGTAAAAGAATCGTAGAAACAAGTCCGGTGATATTTTGACGGGGATACACGGATGGGTTGTCCGCGTTCGGAGTGCATTTCTGATGTCACCATTAGTGAAGTTACGAATCCTGAGGTGTTAGTCCCAACACCAAAGTTACGATAAAACAACTACGCTTGAACATCCATGTTTGTCTTCAACTGTAAAATTACACAAAAGTCTATTATTTTCATCATCATAATTTTTTACATTGTATTTACAAAATGTTGAGGGAAAAAAAGGACAAAATGATGCGAAAACAAAAATGAAAACATAAAATCTTGACATATTTAGGATGGATTCTCGTTGACCCTAGGCAATATTTCTATAACTAGAAATACAACATTTTCTTTTCTCATATCAAATCAGAATTTCCCAGAAAATTACTTTTCTGTAAACATATTTACTTGTCACCCTATTTACACTGCCACATAGATTACTAAAACAAGAAACCGCCAATGGTGATAGTGCCAGATTGCTAAAGTACATTTTCATGTAACTTTTAGCATCACATGTGATAAGCATCCTTAGATACATAAGCAACTTAATTACTTGGTAAGTGATCTAAACTTATCTTCTTAACCATAGTGCAGATGTGGTCTGACCTTAACCAATCTTTTTAACCTGGTCGGTCAAGCGGAAAATGTAGGTCAGACCCAACATCTGAAGCATTGCATGTGATTAGCATCCGTAGATACATATATAAGCCATGCAAGTTAAGTTGATGTACAATACGTAGTGACTTAGAAACTGACCTCAACCAATATTCTTAACCTGGTCACTGAAGCGGAAAATGTAGGTCAGAAGCAGCATCCCAAGCATTGCATGTGATAAGCATCCTTAAGTTACATAAGCAATGCAAGTTTCATTGATGATGAACAAGTAGTTACTTGGTAAATGACCTAAACCAATCTTCTTAACCAGTGTAGATGGGGCCTGACCTAACCAATCTGCTTAACCTGGTCAGTCAAGCAGAAAATGTAGGTCAGAAGCAGCATCTGAAGCATTGCATGTGATAAGCATCATTAGATACATATAACCATGCAAGTTTAGTTGATGTGGGATAATTAAAAACTTGGAAACTGAGCTTAACCATTTTTCTTAACCTTAGTGCAGACAGAGGGACGGACAGACGGATGGGAATCGCTAATCTATAATCCCTGATTGCGTTGCAATCTGGCCAAAATTGACATATACATATTTATTTTTCTATGTATATTCTTGTTGTGGCTGAGCTAGACTTCCTTTGTTTCAACACAAAGAAAATGCATGGTTCTGGTACAGACCCATCATGCTAAGATTTTGCATAATACAATAAAATTAACCCATTTTGGTCTAAGTAATCATAATGTAAAAAGTTAAAATATACTCAAAATCTGTGCGTAGCTTACATTGGACCCATCTTTATTTGTCTAGTGAGTATGTAAAATGTATCTATGCACAATTTCTAACTAATACAACATTAAAAGCAACTACAATTTTTATGTACAATTCTGGGCCTATGTTTACAACCAAGTGGACCAGGGATTATCTATGGTAAAGAGCAATCTCCAAGCTTTCTATTTTGTAAAGTGCCTTCCCTATACCCTCCTTTCTTAAATTTGGAGAACAAAACAGATCACATAAAGTCAACTTTAAAATTGCTTCCTTTTTTCAAGAAAAGCAATACATTTTCAATTTATACCTAATAATTCATATATATTAAAGACATTCCGGGGGGAGGGGGCAGGAAATATTTCATTTTTTTACTTTCCATATTATCTTTTCATTAAAGAGCTAAATGCCTCCTGTAACTAAGTGTTCTTAGTTTTTACCCACTTTAAAATTGACTTTAAGTCTCTCTCATTTTTTTTATGAGGCAGTTGCTGAAGAAATTCCTCATTTCTTTAATTCTTTTAAATAGAGGATAGATGGAAGTTGTGAGTTTACACTGGTATTCCCTCCCTTCTCCATCCCCTAATTAATGGTCATTTCCCTGTCATAGTACAAAATGTGAATCTTACTCTCTGGGGGTATAATAGTTAAGTAAATCAATATAACAATTATGCTTACAAATTGGTCACGGGTAGATATAATGTTCCTACATATGAAATTATGTACATTAAGATAATTTTATAAAAATCCTTTTTATATTACACATGCAAGGGGACAAGAAACTCACAAAGAAAATACAAAATTTATAAACTGAAGAAACAGCAAAAAACAAAACAAAAACCTGAAAATTGGGGAGTATATATGTGGTTTCAATAAAAAAAAATAAAAAAAATAAAAGGAAACATACAAAAGGGAAGCATGGAAATTTTCAAAAATTTCCTTCTTATTTCATGATGCAAATTTAATACAAGAAACAAAAATACCATATTTTTTCTAAAACATGCCATTTTTAATAAGTAAACATTAAGGGTCCTTGTTCTACTGCAAGCAAAACACTAGAAATTTCCACTGTTTTTTTTTTTTTTTAATTTTGTATTAAGAAATAACTTCAATAAGATATCAGGCCCTATTGTATTTTCATATAAAGTAAAGTTTATTTTTTTAAATTCAATTTCATCTTTATTTTTCTTAAAAGTTTTGCAAGGTATTGTTCTCTTTACAGAAATAATTAATAAAGTTTTTACAGAAAAAAATGTTTTGGGTGTGGTACAAGGATCCTTAACACGTTCACCCCTACGTAACTTTAGTAGACTCTACCATACATTCATCTGGATGAGTCCACTATGGTCTACAGTGGTAAATGGGTTAACTACTACATGTATATACAATTATTAACACTATATATTCTAACACTTATAATTATATTCTAAGTCTTACAGGAACTATACCATTACATTTCATCAATAATATAGGCATCATTTGGGTATTTTCTAAATGAATACAGTTGGTACATTATTTTATCTACTATCATTCTCAAACTAACAGGAAAAAACTACCCCCCCCTCCCCCTGTAATTTTTTTTAACAATTGTGACTTCACTCCAATCAGGAAACCTGAAGAAAATTAATATAAATTGAAAATTTCAAATTATCTTTTCTTTTGATTTCATAAGAATAGTCTCTCTATTTCAAAAACTGTCCAAAGAGTCATTTTTCTGAAAGATTAACTCAAGTTTGTTATCCACTGATCAATTGTTGTTTCCTTTTCTCTGCTAGTCTGAGTATCCGCTATGGTGGCTTCATCCACCTCATCCAACTCTTCCTCTTTGAATGGCTCCTCGTCAAGATTTTCTATCACAACACAAATGTCTTGGCTGACTGGCTCCTCCCCAAAGTTTTGTACCTCAACATACATTTCATCTTTGACCGCTTCCTCGTCAGCTAGGATTACACTGATTGTATTTACGTCAACATTTTTGTGAGACTTGTTCTTTGCTCGTTTGGAAGGGGATTTGCCTTTTCCTGAATCTGACAGCTTATTTTTCAGATCAAGAGCTGATGACTTCCTCTTTGTTTTAGAACTGTGTTTGTTTTTCTTCTTAACGAGACCAGTTGTCTGAGAGTGCTTCTCTTGTTCGTGTCGCTGAAGGTATTCCGCTCTGGTGAACCCTTTGTCGCACTTCGTACAAGGAAACTTCTTGAAGCCGTCATGAGTTTTTTGGTGGATATTGAGATTGCCTTTTTGACTGAAGCGCTTACCACATTTGCAGACATATGGTCTGTCATTGGTGTGGGTTCTCATATGTTGCTTCAAAAGATATGACTTAAAAAACTTGGCATCACATCTGTCACATCTGAAATTTTTTCTTTGAAATGGTAAATGAGTATTTTCGTGTTCTATCAGGACATCCCTGAGGGCAAACTTTTTATTGCAGTGAACACATTGAAAGTGTGTAGAGGGATCGCTATGGGACCTTTCGTGTCTCTTCAAAGCACACTTTCCGGTGTAAGACTTACTGCAGAGTTGGCATTTGAAGCTCCGCTCAGTGCTGTGAACGGTGCGTATATGCCTATTTAACGTGGACCCTCTTAGAAAAGACTTGCCACAGACTTCACAGGAGTTCAACCGAGTGCAGGTGTGAGATCGAATATGTATGGTAAGCTCGGAGGAATTAAGAAGCGTCCTGCCACACAGGTGACACAAATGCTGGTTCACTGCGGGTAATTTTCTGACCCTTGTGGCATCGTGCATCTCAACATGTGCTGCGAAGTTTTTGGCATGCTTAATGACTTTAGAACAGATGGGACAAACCTGATTCATAACATTTTTAACAACAAACTTGCTATTGTCTTGTTCCATCTTAGGATTTGCAGAGGGTTTCTTAACCTCTTGATCAAGAGCACACTTTTTTGGTTTTCCAGTTTGTGTTTTCCTGGTTTTCTTGGATTTAATATTGGAATGATCATGATCTTGACCTCTTTTTGTGGTTGATTTTGAAACCTTCCTACCAATTTTCAGCGCTTCCATTACCTCTGTGATTTTAAATTTTTCACAATAATTTGGTAGTTTAATGAACTTTTGTTTTTATGTCTAGTGTTTTGCTCAAACTGACTTTCCTTTTTGTGCCAAACTTCCAGTCTTGCATTCATATAGCCAAGTCTTTTTTATAGAATTTGCTGTTGTGTTAAATTCCTTTGTTCCTTGATATTTACTTTCCCAAACTTAATCAGAAAAACAAAAATCTCAAACTGATTGCACTTACATTAAAAATTATTGTTAAAAAAAATTAACATGATTTTTTTTAACAAATATTGTTTTTAAGATAACTTAACCCTGGAGAAGGAAAATATAGAAAGCTTGTTTTTAGGTACAAGAACAAACTAAAATAGGAGTTACTAGTTACCTGAAGTGTATTCCCTAAGTGTCAAACTGATCATTATTTTATTTTTTTAAAAATCTTATAATTTTTGCTAGATGCAATCAATGGATCAGATTTCAATATAATTGGATTAACTTTTTTGACCAGGGTTTATTCATAACTATCAATTAACTAGGAGTTAAATTTGATACAACTTTTAGCAAGAAAGCTCCCTAAGTTAAGTCGATGCTAACTTGCATTGAAGACAACTGGAATGAACTGCTCCCTCCTCCACCCGAGAGATCCCAAAACAGGTAGGTTGTTGATACTGTTTGGATCAGCCCGTCCTGTATAAGTGTCCGTTCAGTTTGAATCAGCATCCACAGCCTTCCTTAATTTTAGCAGTGCTTAATCTTTTTGGAAGGTCCAAATGTGAACTACCAGCGCCGGTCACGGTCCGAGCTGTAGATCTCTGCAGGTCGTTCTTGTTTCTGATACCTACATTAATTTTACACGAGATTTTAAATCTTTGAATCTTAAATGCAAGCAAAATAATCAAATCAAGTAAAGAATAACAGTTCACATACAAAACGAAAAAACTCAGAAGAATTCAAAATAATAGCTTGGAACCTGTAATTGTATTAAGATTTCATCAACTTACTTATTGCCTGCCGTCTGCCATTTTGAAAACCTGGGGTTTTGCTTTCTTTTCTACAATTATTGAATATCATGTCATGACAAAACTGAAAGCTCAGCCTCTGCATACACCACTGTTCGAGTGATACAAGTATACATGTTTTAATTTTCGATGTACATCTATGGAATCGTGTGACAGCATTATAATTGTAAAATTGACTATTGAGTTTTTAAGTCAAGTGTTGCTCCTCTGTAGACTGTAATCTTCAAAAGACATAACAATCTAGCGATTTGTCAGTTAATTGTGCCTGGAATCATTCAAATAGGTTTCCGCTAATTGTGTGGTTTGCTAGGAAGAATCATGTGGCAGCATAATGGCAAAATTGACAAGTTTTGAAATCAGGGATCACTCCACTGTAATTTTTAAAAGACAGGTCTCAAAGTTAACTTAGCTATTTGTCAGTTGTGATTCTGCTTCTAACCGATCTAGTAGCTTTTTACCTAATGGTGTGCTTTCTAGATTGTCATGACAAATTCCAATAATGTAGAGAAGATATGCGTTTCGAGAGCAGAACCGTTGGATTTTAAAGACGGCAGTAATATCTACCCATGGGGAATGTACGATTTATAAGTATACCACTGGAAAAAGCATATACCAAATCACATCCTCTATACTCCAGGGGTTACACTCACCTTTGCTCTCTGCACCCCTGAAATATGTCATTACAAAAGTGAAGGCTCAGTGTGCACCACCTTCTGGGTGAGACAGGAAGACTAATTTGATCCTTTGATATACATCAAAATAATTTGTCGGTTGTGTAACAGTTAAGTAGACTGGCTTTGAAGTTGGGTGTTGCTCCTCTGTAATCTTCAAAGGACAGGTATCACCCTAGCAATTGGTAAGTTATTGTTTTTACTTTGAGACCAATCAAGTAAGTAGTTGTGTGCCTTCCATTAAGCTATGACATAGTCCAGGGATGCAGGGAACGACAGTGAGAGTACCTCCAAAACTATCGAGGATGACCGAATCATGAAGTGTTTGTTTTCTAAATATAAACACTTATCATAGAACATCCCACTATTTCCTTCATTTCTTTCAAATTCCAGTACAATTAACTCAATCACCCCTGAAATTTCATGAGTTAAATATGGTTAATATCTGTTTCAGAATTAAGACTTAACCCTGCTGAGAAACAACACATGTTAGTATACAATGATTTCCTTCAGTTAATTCAGACAGACATCATAGATAGCGAAACAGGGTTCACAAACGATTTTAAAGCAAAAGAATGAACTTAAAAGATGAAAATCATTCCACAATGTACAGTGTAGCTGTTTGAAATTAAAATGTTAAAAGATCTGGTTTGTATATCAGTGTATGTGTATACTGGGGAAATGATTAATTTCACAGCAGGCAAAGGATTAAAGGCACATATATAATATGTTAAATGTGAATCTTAATGAATTTCAAAAAACTCTGTTAATTGTCTTTCATTTTAATTTCATAATGTATTCACCGTGTTGCAATTTCTACCAGTTTATTCCACATTTATAAAAGAGATTCTGATGTTATTTACATGTGGTACAGTATTAGCATAAGCCCTTGGGACATATATTTTTGTGAAAGGTTGCCCTTCAGAATCAAGCCGTTAAACAAGCATGGCTTCCACTTGCTTTCATTTTGTATTGATCCTTGAGAATAATTTCCCATATTTGCGCCAAAGAATTTGAAATGGACCATTAATTAGATAAAAAAAATGCTTGTTCATCATACATGGATTTGATAACTGACCGAGATAAAGTCGAAGTCAATATAACTTAAGAGATTTCAGTATATGGACTGAAAATGTACAAATAGTGTTCGCTTAATGTGGATGTTGTTTAAAAAAAAGTCCTACCTACCAGTCATACCAATCAAGGCATTGAAAAGATATTTTGAACCTCTGCCCTACATATCAATACATCAAACTGTGACCAAGTTTTGATTGGTCATAAGGCAAACAATGCAACACATTTTAAGTATGAACTTATCAGTCCAACAATAACTGCATGTACTATTACCATTTCAGCAAGTTGAAGAAAACATCCTGTTAAGGCCAAATCTCAACGGATACAATTTGCTGGCTTGTGGTGATATCTGCACTCCAATTGAAGTCGTGTGGTCCAACAGGGTTGAACATTGACGACGGTCACAATTTGCATCTGTAAAGCATAATAAAGCTATCTTAAAAATGTGTGAGCAGTGTGCAAAATTAACATTTATTCAAACTATGATATATACCATAACAATGCTATGGTAGTGGAACTTTGTGGATTACCGACAACTATATGGAGCTCAATGAATTAGTGTCTGTATAAAAGTAACAGTTCAAAGGTCCCCGGTACAAATTCTGGTCTGGCTGTTGCAGTTTATGCCCAGCTAAATATACACACAGAAGGTGGTATAAGGTCTCATATTTCTTTGGTGTCAAAACGCTTTGTTGGTGGACGGAGGAATGAAGAATAAAATGAGATGAATTTAGTCTTAACTGGAATTGAAAATAAGCTCCATTTTACTCCATCAACAGCGATTTTGTTTTAAGAAAGATTTCAGGCAAAACTGGCAATTTTTTTTTCAAACTTTGATGACTCCATTTACTAAGAGATACTCTGCTCGTGCCTTATAATGAATGAAATGAGATGAATTTAGTCTTAACTTGAATTAAAATTAAGCTCCATTTTACTCCATCAACAGCGATTTTATTTTAAGAAAGATTTCAGGCAAAACTGGCAATTTTTTTTTCAAACTTTGATGACTCCACTTACTAAGAGATACTCTGCTCGTGCCTTATAATGGAGTAAGCCTAGGAGGCACGGTAGTCTAGGGGTAGGAAACCGGGTTCGTGACCGAATGGTTGCGAGTTCGAGTCAGGGCATGGCACTGAGTTGTATCTTTGAGCAAGATACTTTTCTCAGACTACTAAGCTGTAAATGAGTATGTGGTTGGGCAGTGCTAGAATTGTTCAAGGCTAGCTGTGAGCGCCGAAATGACAACACCAGTTGTATGCTCCCCAATGAGTTGAGAAAGATAACTTTGAGGTGACCTATGAGGTTGTGATAAAGTGGTATATAAGAACCTCAAATTATTTTTATTAAATATGGTGACATGTCATAATGAGTAGTAAATACCATACTTGGCCATGCAGGCCATATATATATCATGCATGGCTGTTGTTTCCTTTTTTAAGTAGGGTTTTTGTATAGTAATGATTCATTATTTCAGGAATCATGCATTATTTTGATAAAATAACACTCATGAGTTATATGCAGTATTAGTCATATAGATACTTAATCTTATAAATTGAACAATCTTAATTTAATGCATGTAGCTATGGTAATATCTATTCCTTATTCATAGCTGTGACAACACATATAAATAATTTGTCAGAAGCTACATTAATATCACTGCTAGGCAATGCCACTTACTCAATCAAGTTGTTTCTCAGTATATTTAATTCATATGGCACCATAATCAACTACTTCTCCTTCCGGCACAATGTTGATATTTTTTTCAGAAAAGCTAATAACGATGTAATTTATGTTATAAAATTGCAAATATGAAACACGATCTGACAGATGATAATATACATTCAATGACTTTCATACACAGGGAAAATTCTGAAATTTTAGATCAGTGGGCCATTTTCAGTAATTTTGAAATCAAGAGGGGCTATTCTATGTAAAATTAAAAGAAAACAGGAAGGTTAACACTGAGGGGTTAATTTCAGTTTTGAGGGGTCAATGGCTCCCTGATTATCCCTGCATGCATTTGATATCAGGTAAGACTTTTTAATTTTTCACTTATCACGTTTCAGATATTCATGAAATGCATATCAAACTTAAGTGGGCTTTAAGTAAGCAGTTACTGAACTATGCAAACACATAACCATCACTTTGAGTACCAGTTAGATCTACACTGCAGTAGCTACAGTCGTCTCCCGTCGTGTAATGTCGTTATTGGTAACTACGACGTATACAATGCAAATGCAGTGATAGCGTCTCTTCTGGCATTGTAAAACACGATGGGGGGTTCAGATTGCAAACATATTACACGTATGTGTAACATACAAAATATTATGAAGGGAGAAATGCAACCAGAGCAGATAAACAAGGCGAGTGTAGCATGAGGTTGATATTGTCTGCTCCCACCGTTTTCATCTGTAAATCTGGGCTCCTTGTGTATTCGGCCGGTTGATGCGGAGACTGAGAGCGAAGATCTTGTGATGCTTAACAGAAGAGTGCATGCGATTTAAGATTATCCTGCAACTATAGAGCACGAAATATCGTA